GAGTTGCAGCGGTTGGGTGAATGGCGGCCTTAATAATGTATTGTGTCATTTTTAAAGTGAGATGCCATTACATCATTCACGGTGCCTATATGCTTGTGGGTCCGTCTTTTGTTTTTGTTTGGCCCTCTTCTTTTTTTTCATAAACATTCGCTCATCTATATAAATAAAATCAATTTTCGTTCGTTAGTTGGCAGCTGAACCGATTGGGCTAATTTTGGTCTTGAAATGTTCATGGAATTCTAAGGAAGGTTTAAAAGGTCAGAAAAAAATTTTAGGCGGTACATAGTTTGCCGGGTCAGCTAGTCTGACGTATTTATTTACATTATCCACCCTTGTCTTCAAGACAGTCAATATAGTAGAAGGAGCTGCACATTTTTTGTTCCGCATATAAAATGTTAAGAATAAGAAATACGAATAATAAACGTTTATTTGCACGAAGTATGATAATCATAGTTGATAATAATTATAAAAGATAGTCCTACATACAAAATTCTTACAACCAGGATAATATAAATTTTTCTCTTCACAAATTATTATTATTTATCTGCTATAATATTATACTTATCATTTTAGTGACTTTAATAATGCACTTATTATATTTTCATTGTCAGAAGCATCTAACTGTCACAAACGTCAAAATCAAATCAAAATGGCGGGAATGTTAAAGGTGAATACACCAATGGACAGTTGATTTAAAAAATAAAGATAATTATGAATTATTGCATGAAAAAACCGAGTGATGTGACTTGACCGTTTCACATACAAATAAATACTAAATAAAAACATTCGAAAACAAATTTTCTCTTTATACAGACTCGATTAATAAACGAGCGTGTAAAACAGGTAATTTATTTGATGTCAATCATAAATCAGAATGGAAAATGCGACTGTGCAATGATTGGACTTGTTATTATACTGTAGTACCTACCTATTTACGATTTTCACCACAAAATGACAGTTCGATGCAGAAAATGGCGGACGGCGAAACCTATGACGCGTGGTGAATAGAGGTTGCATATCAAGCTATACCGATTCAAAAGTTTTAACGATTATCGACTTTATTTTAACTGTCGCAAATGTTATTAGAGAACAAAAAGGTTAAAGGGTAAAGGTTAAAGTGAAGTATAAAATCAAAGCGAGTGAAGGTAGTTTTCGATTTTCTTAGTTTTGGATTTTGGAATCTTAGTTGATTTATTTTTTAGGGTATAAGGCGCTAAACGGGCAATCGGGTCACTTGATTGTAAGCAATCAGCGTCGCTCATGGACACACGGAACTCTAGAGGAGTTACATGCGTTACTGGCCTTTTGGGGATTAGGAATTTGAGGATTGTTTCGGATTCAGGGATTGGGGACTTTGGGGGGTGTGTAATTGGGCCTCCGGTAACCTCACTCACACGACGAAACAAACACAGCGCAAACGTTGTTTCACGTCGGTTTTCTGCTCGGCCGTGGTATGACATCGGGCGAGCCGGCCCACTCGTGCCGAAGCATGGCTCTCCCACACTTAATATGTATGATGTGCAGCAACAAGCTCACACTCTTTCAAAAGATTTAAAATATATTATACTATCATAAACAGACCACTGCAGTACCTACTAAAGACTTCTTCTCCATAAAATGGTTTACTATAATCTGCACTCTTGGCATTTAATAATAACATTAACCGACTACACAAAAGAGATGCTCTGTTTATCCTGTACTAGCAGCCCGTCCCGGCTTCGCACGGGGTAGACAATTATTTATTTTTGGAAATTTGGATTGTTGTAGTGACATAACTACAATAGTTGGACATATATGCTATCGCGGAGATTTTTGTAGACATTATGATGTTCTTCAATATTGTTGTACATTATTTTGTTCTATCGTTAATAGTTTCGGCAGCGCATTCGACGAAAGACATTTTAAGACTCATTTTTCTACACCTTCGGTTACATTGTTCAAATTTTACCAAGGATCCCTAATTTTTTCAAAATGAAATGTAGCCTATGTCAAATTGGAAGAATTTAGCATTCTATTGGTGAAAGAATTTTTTAAATCAGCTCAGTACTTTTTGAGTCTATTCATTACAAACATACAAACATACAAAAATAGGTACAAATCTTTCCTCTTTATAATATTAGTATAGATTAGTATAGATGTATGGACTACCCTTGTATGCAATTATCACGCGATGGGTTGAATCGATTATCATGAGGTTTTTAGAATAATGTACACTTTGCAGAAGGTTTTAGTATAATAATTAACCGACTTCAAGAAAAGAGGGTGTTTGAAGTCGGTTTTTTTGTACGTATCATTATCGCTTACCACTAGGCGAAATAGTCGTCAAACGTCGGCCCATCAAATAGGTACTCTAATAATCTAATCTTCATAGTAAAACAAAGTCGCTATCCGCCGTCTGTCTGTCCCTATGTATGCTTAGATCTTTAAAACTACGCAACGGATTTTGATGCGGATTTTTTAAATAGATAGAGTGATTCTTAAGGAAAGTTTATATGTACAATACAGTGAAACCTAGCTAAGTGAGACACCAAGGGACCTGCAATGTCGTTTCACTTAAAGAGGTATTCCACTTACCCAGTGTCTCAGATATACAGGTATAAATAAAATATCTGTCTCATTTACAGAGGGTTCGATTAATAGAGGTGGACTTGGAATTACGTGTGGAATTTGTGGGTAGAATAAGAATGAGTAAACAAACAATGTTATCTCAGTTACAGAGGTTTATGCATATAAAATTTACTCGCTGTCTCAGTTATAGAGGTAACTACGATGATAAATCGAAAGAACAAATCCCAGATATAGATGTTTACCTCGTTCCACTAACAGAGGTAATTCAGTGCTAAAGTGTTGGGACCTCAGCATGAGTTCCAGTTATGGAGGTTTCTCACTTATCCAGGTCCCACTTAACCAAGTTTCACTGTACATGCATATTGCACCCGTGCGAAGCCTAGTACTAGACTAGTATTTATGTATAACAAAAAAAGAACATATATTATGTAGTTTATGAAAGTATTATTTCCTTTTCTTTGTTTAATTTGTATTGTGTCAGCTTCATTTACTTTTCAGAATTTTGTAATATTATTCAAGAATAAAAATCCGAATTCACATATAGGTAAACCTACTTATTCGTAAAAATGTTCAAAGAATAGGTGGAAGAATATCCTTATTGATTTAGGAGCTAAAAACCTCCTTAGACCGCGTAAACTTTTTTAAATTAATCAGATTTTGAATTAACTGTCATTTAAGTACCTATGTTGAAATGTTGCCAATTTCCGTGGATAGATTATCCCATACATTTTCAAAAATTTCTATAGTATGTATGTACCTAAGCATTATTATTGTTCTTTTATGCAACTTTTTCCGAGTTATACGTAATTTCTAATATTATCTAGATACCACTGCAGTGTGTATTGACACCAACGCTTATGTATGGTAGTGAATCATGGGTGTGGCAGAAGAAGCATGAAACCAGGATTAATGCGGTGGAAATGAGAGCCCTAAGAAGTATGTGTGGACTAAAATTGAGTGATCGAGTGAAAAATAGTGTTATTAGAGAAAGGTGTGGATTGAAAGATGATGTAGTGACAAGGATTGAAAAGGGAATGTTACGCTGGTTTGGACATGTAGAAAGGATGGATGAAAGTAGAGTAACGAAAGAAGTATACAGAGCGGATATGAATGGGGCCGTCGGTAGAGGGCGCCCTAGACGGACATATAGTGACCAGATTGGCGATATATTAAAGAAGGGCCAAATTAAAAGTACCCTTAACCGACGAGCATGCATGAAAAGTTGATGACTGCTAATGAAGCGAAAGAGGTATGTAAGAATCGTAGTAATTGGCGTTCCTTAGTCTCTGCCTACCCCCATGGGAGACAGGCGTGAAGTTATGTATGTATGTATGTATCTAGATACCACTGACAAACGGTGAAAGAAAACATCGCGAGGAAACCTGGGCTTATAATTTCTAATTATAAGTTTGAAATCGCCAACCCGCATTGAGTTAGCGTGGTGATTAATGCTCAAACATTCTCCGTGTGAGAAGAGGCTTTGCTCAGCAGTGGGCATTTATAGGCTGTTGATGATGATGATTATTATTGTTCATTGGATTGAAAGTTTAAGGTTCGGCGGTAGTGTTCTTGCAAACACTTGATCAGTACGACAATGTTTTTTTTCTAATGCCCGCATAATAGAACAAGCTATTGAATTGTAAATACGAGGTAGCTAGTATTATTCCTACAGTGACAATAAAACCTACACAGGTATAAAAGAAAATGCGTATTGAGAGTTTATATTTAAAAATTAATATGCAATGACAATAAAAGCCAGCCAATGAAGATAAATAAGTTTCAAGAAACTGTAAATATTACAGTTAGAGTATTTAAACACCGTTACTGATCAAGATTTTATTGGTATTTGCAAATAAAATGCTAAGATCAATATCATTTTTAAAGATTTATAAATTCATTATTCTAAAAAAAACAGCTGTTGGCACAGAATTAGAAATCTGTCGAGTACTAAGATATTTTATTAAGAACACCGGTTTATTTTTTAGCAAAAGTCACGATCTATTCAGCCAGTAACGTCAATAGTAGCAAAGAGGTTTTTATTCTCAGTGCAAGTACGTTTAGAATGACTAACAACTCGACAAGAGTTGCCATTGGCCATTTTTTGTGTCATGATAAAACATTGTTGTTTTTCTACGGTTTTATTACCGCGGGGCCCAAACAGGCGGAAGTATAGCCTTCTAAAAATAATTAACAACACGCAATTTTAAACGCCAATATCTGAGCGAAAAGAGTTTTATTTGATTACATTAAATAACCGGTTGACTTACGCAAGTTATTACTCAATATTTATATACAGGAAAAGGTAAACATGATCCAACCATAGTTTCTAAGCCAGCTAAGTTTGCTCAGACAGTAACGTAGATAATTATTCAACGTTCCTAAGAGAAAGCGGACCAAACTTGAAACACTGCTCCAGATAAAAAAAAACTCACCTGAATCAGTAGTCGTTGATTTCACAGACAAAACGTCTCGATATCACACCAAAAACAACAATAAAAACTATTTAGTTATAAAACTCACAAACAAAACTGCGTATACCGTTTTGTAGCAAAAGAAAACTTTTATATAAGTAACTGTAACGGACTTCCTATAGCTCCAACCAGTTTTAACGACTTTAAATAATAAAAATTTAACGCGAAACTCACTGTTCGACGTGTTTATATTGTATAATTAGTATGTCAATAATATTTATTTGTTTTTCAATGAGATTTTTGTTGGCGTACTGAGATTAAAATGAAGAAAGGTGCAAGCGCGTTGTCGCAGCGACCCCCCGCACTCAACTGAGTTGACTTCTCAAGCAAAACGGTGTTACCAGTGCCCGAAGAAGGTTTTCCTACACCAACTTAAAATTCCAATTCGAAAAATGTCATCGCATCCTTATGCTCTCTATGTAAGATTCATAATCAAGTGGTTTTTCTCATTTGAAATGTACAATTGATCTTGTTTCTAATCATAATCGTGATACAAAGAGTGTTTTTTCGTTTTACAAAGGAATAAAAAATACTTAATTGAATGACATTAAAGGATGAAAAAATATAAAAAGAGTTCACACGTTTAGCAATTGTTTCTATGTGTTGAAAAGTTAATTCTTAATTTTGTATGATTAACCACTTATATCTAACTGCAATTATTGTTAGTTCCAGTAGTTTTAGTAAACGTTTTGTTAAAATCAAATGAAGGAACCCACAGCTGCGGACGACCAAATGGGTAATCGGGGCTTAGGATAAAACAGGAGAAGGAACGGGATGGTGTCAGTAAGAGTCTGATACTACCTCTCGCCTCACCAAAGGCGGTAGGAATCATAGGATCATTGGATGATTTACTCCTCAAAAATCAAATAAATGACTAATTAGCCGATTTGGATGATAAAACTAAACGTCGCAGGTTAATCACATGAATATACTGAGAAAAGCTCTACTAGTTTCGAACCATAGAGGGGCTCTTCCTCAGGAGCAGCGTGCGCGGTAGCGGCTATGTAGTGCAGCCTTCAGAATAATAAATCTGTGGCTTGAAAATAGTAATGCTTTTCTCGGTATATTGGCGTTGGTAAGCCGCGAATTTTAGTTTGTTTAGAAGTCATTGGTGGAGACGCATGTGGACGTAATATAATATTATGACGATACCTCAAAGGTATTTCTAATTATGATTCTGTAATAACATGTTGTTAAAAACTCAAGCATTAGTTACACTGACTAATTATCAAATGACTTAGGTGTTTTTCATAGTACATAATATATCTAACTATGTACTGTCAAACTGTCAGTTCAAAATGGCCGCTTGGGTGAGTTTGACAGAATAATGCGTAGGTATTCCGTTTGTGTTGATGAATTAATTACTTGCAGAAATATATTTAGTTCCTATATTAACTTCTATGACTAGTTGAATTAAAAATAGATTTCTTATATTACGTAGTCTTTTGTTAATATGTTCTAAAGTATATTTTGAGAATAATCTGCACTTGGGAGCAAAAAAAAATCGGAGCCAACAAGCCTTTTTAAAAAAAAAAAACCATTTACAACGAAACACTCGCATTTTAAAAATAATTAAACTGCATTTTACATTTTATAATGAAATATTTGTATCAGAAACTATTTATCAAGAAATAAAAAATAATAAAATACTTGTGGCTCTGATTCTTTGCTCCCAAGTGTATTTTAAATACTTTTTAGTTTTTGTGTCGAAATTTTTGATAAAATTACTAAAATTTTAAACTATTCAGTATACTGCAACATTTAGTTTTAAATGTAAATATACATAGGTAGGTATATAACTATATACCTAATATGAAGGAAAATGATGTGAGGAAATGTATAATTAGAATTAAATATATATTGTCTGTAATCGTCTGTTAACTTGAGCGAATGTAATTATTAACGCTCGTTTTTGAGGATATAATATGTATTTATAATTGTAAAAGGTTTACGCAAAAAATTAACCGTTGTCTAACAATCAATCAATAACGCATACATTTATTTAACTAAACCAGTTTTAAAAACGCCTGGTTTAGTAAATTTCATTAATCAATTCAATAATGTATTCTTCATAAGTCCTAGTTTTTAACTTAAACACATAAATATACAAGAAGTTTTCATAAAAAGTCAACGCTTAAATAAAAATAAATCAACATCACAAACAATGACGTAATTATATAAGAGAACACTAAAGCCAACAGCCAAACAATTAGTTGTCTAATCAAAACAAACCACACTAAAAAAACACAATAGTATACTCCACCTACAATTACCCAGAAAACAGGGAGATATAATAACGTGGCAACACTAGATACAGGTGCTAAAGTGACCCACACAGGTAGTCTCGCTCCCTGTTGCGTTGCATAAATGCTTTACTGTTTTAAACCTAAGTTTGAAACCGATACGTTCATGCAAAACTATTTGAACTCATCTGGCATTCATTTTTAATCTTAAAACTATACTAATATTATAAAGCTGAAGAGTTTGTTTTTTTGTTTGTTTGTTTGTCTGAACGCGCTAATCTCCGTAACTGCAAGTCTGATTTGAATATTCTTTTTGTGTTGGATAGCCCATTTATCGAGGAAGGCTATAGGCTATAAAACGTGACGCTACCACCAATAGGAGCTGAGCAAAGCGTGTGAAACCGCGCGGAAGTATGTAGCTAGTCAATTATAAATAAGTTTCATATATTTTTCAAAGAGTCAGACATCAATATGGACTTCTTTCGAAATGTCTGTAAGATTAAATTGCATGTTGTGATGCCATTTCTTTCCGTCATATAGTTTATTATAGTTAGTTGTATAATAATTATAACATAACATCACGCCTTTTGTCCCCGAAGGGGTAGGTAGAGGTGCACATTATGCCACTGTACAATGTAACACCTTCACTATTTATGTTATGAGTCCCATGTAATAGGGGGTGAGCCTATTGCCATATTCCGGGTACAATTCCAGACTTCGTGCTACTACAGTGAATTTTTGAAAGAGCCAATAATACTTTTCCCGATTCGGGAACGAACCCGAGACCCCTTACCCGACAGTCGCACTTGCGACCACTCGGCCAACGACGCAGTCAAATTCTTCAATCAAAATCATTTTCAATCCCCATATAAATAAATTCTTATCTGTAAAATTAATTTATAAATGCCAAATTAATTCACACTTTTTTTTAGTATAGAAGGTATAATTGTCAAATATTGAATAAGTATTTCTCTGATTTTGTTTGCGGATGGATAAATCGGCCATCCTTATCCTTATCCTTATTCCTTATTAATATTATAAACTGGAAAGTGAGTTTGTTTGTTTGTTCCGCTTTCGCGCCGTAACTACTAAACCGATTGCTTTGAATTTTTGCAGACGTAAAGTTAGAAGTCTGGATTAAATAATAGGGTACTTTTTATCCCGGAAAAGTTTGATATTCCCGAGGGAAAACAAAAGTATTGGTATAGATGGCGCTGTGTGTATTGGTATATGTCACATAGGCTACTTTTTATCCTTTTGTGACGCGAGCGAAGCCGCGGGTAAAATCTAGTAAATACCTAATCTAAAAAAATAAACAAATAATCATCAAATTTAACAAATCAATGAGCAGAGGTCTTATTATAAAAAAAAAGCGCCTTATTTTGGGTCGTACCAAAAAAATAAGGAATTGGGTTCAAACGAGATGGCTCACCTGATGGCAAACAATCAGCGCCACCTATGGACACCCAGAACCCTAGAGGAGTTACCAGTGTGTTACCGGTCTTCTGCCAGAGGGAGGGATAGAGGTCAATGCACTTTATTATCAACGTAGACATTAACTGACATCTTGCTTAGCATTCTTAAGTATATAGATAAGATAGTGAGTCTTAACTTCATGCTGCCTCGTTGGCCGAGTGGTCGCAGGTGCGACTGCCGGGCAAGGGATCTCAGGTTCGATTCCCAGGTCGGACAATGTATTACTGGGTTTTAAAAAAAGAAAAAGGATTATGCCCGGTATATGGCAATAGGCTCACCTCTAATTACATGGGACTCATAACATAATATAGTTAAAGTGGGTGTTACATGGTACAGTGCCATTAAGTGCCGTAATGTGCACCTCTGCCTACCCCTTCGGGGTTAGAAGATGTTATGTATCTTAACTCATATTCATATTCATATCTTTATTTGCATTCCATAATGTTTCTTAAGATTGGCTTAAAGCTAGGACACAATTATGGACCCAGCACAGCAAAATACAAAGTTTACATTTCAGAATTCCATTCAATTAATAACATATTAATAACATTTTCAATAATTATTAAAATAAAAACTCCATACAACAAACTTCACAGTTTTCCTAAAGATGGCGCCTTCGACACCCGCTAGAAGAGTAGGGGATAAATGTATTCTATTCATTTGTAATACTTCTGGTGCTGTAGGTACTCATGACCTGGCTCAATGTGGCCCGAATGTTTAAGATACTTCTCATGCATGAGGGTGCGGGTTCGTCCTACCAACGGCAAGTAAGTATCTATCAAAGTCAAAGTCAAAGCATTTATTTAAATTAAACCATAATATGGTACTTGAAACGTCAACAAATATAAAATAAATAATAGTCTGTCAGTCAGTCCGTCAGTGCAGCTTGGTGAAGCTAGGTGCTCATTCCAAAATGGAGATTCGAATGGAGAAGAACGAGCAAGAAACTCCATTCGTTACTGTTTTTTATTGGTTTCAGGAGTAAGCACCCTGGTCTAATTGAAATATGTAAATGATTTTGACTTTGATTTTGACTTAGTTGTCCAAAGACCTATCGCTTAAAAACCCTGAAAACCCGAATCACAGAACCACTCAGTCAATCAGTCAAAAAAATAACATATTAGAACTTTTTAAACTTACCTACCATAGACAAAAAAAAAATAAAATAAATACCGTCATAATCGACATTAGCTTTGACACGTCGCAGTCAAACTGAAAACAGTGTTTTGATTAGATAGTTTACATGAATTCAATTTTTATTGCGTTTAAATAATCAACATGGCGCATTGGTAAGTTGAAATAAAATATACATAAGAAACCTTAGCGATGTGGTAACTGCAGAGGAGAATATATAGGGTGTGAACGGAACTCTCCCGAAAAACACCGACAGGTGATGATAAAAAACAAGATTTATATTCATAAAATGAAGAAATTAATTGTTTATTAATGTATTAACTGCTTCTGCCCGCGACTTCGTAAGCGCAATCCCGTTTTTCACCGTTCCCGTGCTTGATATGCGTAAAAAAGCTAAAAAAGGAAACTGTTACATAATAAGTATCCTATGTCCGTCTCCTGGTTCT